TTCTGGAAGCTTAGTTCAGGCCTCTATTTTCCCTTAAGTAGCTTTTGCCTGGACCACATCTCCCACAATGTACTGAGTCATGTGATTCCATGCTGCCCCAAACAGCTCAGTCAGAAGCAAATCCGAATTGCATTATGGGAGATGAAGTCCTCCATGTAACGAAGCCCTTAGGAGAGAATGAAGACCTGAACTACTATACCCATAAGCCATTGCATGGATAGGGAAAAAGCAGTTTAACATTTTCTTGAACTGATTCCTAACTATGGAATATTCTGATTTGGGTGGAACTGGCTTGAAAAGAAATATTTAATTTCAATTTTCCTGATGCAAAAATGGAAAATTCTCAGGGGAAAAAAAATTATGGAAAATTTCAGTGTTGTGGAAACTGCCTTTTCCACAGGTATATCATTCTGCCCAACTCTAGGTTTCTCTCTCTGCCCACCCATTTCTAGGCCAGTTCTGTTTGTTGACCAGGCCTGGGCCTTCAACTGCAGAGAACACCTGTCCCACATGCAATCTGAGATCTCCAGAGGACAGGCCGGGCTGGGTAATGTCAGTCACTGATGTTATGCTTCTTATTGTCAGGGCGATTCCGGTGGGCCCCTGGTGTGCAATGGGATTGTCCAGGGCATCGTCTCCAATGGAGATCCGGATGGGCGACCCCCCACTATATACACGAGAATCTCCAAATTCATTCCCTGGATCAACGAAACTCTGCAGAAACTGAGTTAAAGGTGACGCTCCCTTTTAAAGGGTGAATTTAGCCATACTGGGTTCTGTGCCTGTGTGTAACTCCTGAGATGGTTTATATTAGAGGGATTTTTTTTTCACTGTTAAAGAAATGCTACGAATGGCTCAGTCCTGAAATCCTTTTCTGGCTACAAATGCCCCTTCGATGTTTGAAATTTTGTTCTATTTTATTGTCACTCCAAGCGGCTAGTCAATGTTTGGGGCTCTGCGGGTGCTCTGGTTCAGAGCGAAAATTCACAATAGAGCCTGGTATTTACTTGATGAAATCTGGTTTATTTACAAGTCCTGTTTCCCTGAACACAGTCAGAATCAAACAGCAGCAGACAGCTTCTCTGTTCACTGTCCCAAGCCTGCCTCTCCAGAAAAGACTCTGTGCCCAAAAAGCTACTTCTCTTACCTGTTTCTCAGGGCCACATTCCTTTGCTTCCAGGTTATGTCTGCCTGGCTTTTTACTCTCTGTCTGTCGCTCTTCTGTCCCCAGGTCTCTGTATTATATCTGTCCCAGTCACATGCTTCATTACCCCAGAACAATATTCGGTGACAACCTTTCCTCCTGATTCATTAGAATCCCCACGTGTGCACAGGGTTTTACCATCAGCCTAGGGGATTCTGGAGTAAGGGTACAATTTTCATTGTTGAATTGTATACGCCCTCTACAAATGCTGATCATTTTTATATCTATTGCAGTCTTCAAGGGTTTTCTACCATCAAAATTCCTAGCTGCAGTGTGTCATTGGTGTCTTAAAAACTTTCTTTCATCAAACCAGAGAGCAGGAATGGTGCTTTGCAGTTTTGATGGCCAACCTATCACCAGGAAGCATGGCTAGCCGACTTAAGCAGCACATGACAATAGGACACTGACATGGTTGTGTGAAAAAATTGAAATTTTGAATGTTTTGTTTTGTGCATTTTGAGCTGGACCCAACTTTTATTTATTTTCAGTATTTTCTTTTCTTTTCTTTTTCCCTCTCCCATCCCACAAATATTTAATTATTTATTATTATTGTGATACTGAATGAAGGTTGGAAAAACCCAAAGGAAGGGAACCTGGAAAGCATTGCTGAGATACATTGGGACAAAAGAAAGAATTGTGTATTTCCAACTATTTGGAAGATATTGAAAATGGACACTTGTTTGAATGACCAATGGCAATTAAGGGGAAAAAATCTATTTAAAAAAAAATAAAAAAATAGTCTTGTTTGAACAATTTGCTCTCCCTTTTCCAGTACTGGTCTCTCGATCCAGGGCTGGGGGAGGATAATGGGGCAGTGGGCAGGATTCAGGGAACCTGGGTTGAGCCATAAACAAAATTAGAGCTAAATAAGACCATCTATGCCTGGAACCTCAGAGGGGTTTGGATGCCTAACACCCATTGAAATCACCAGGAGCCTAAATGCCTTTGTGGATCTGGGCCTGTAGCTCTTCCTGTGAGCAGATCTCAAAGCGCTTTACAAAGGCGGTTGGGATCATTAGCCCCAGATGGGGAAACTGAGGCATGGAGAGAGGCCATGACTTGTCCAAGGTCACCCAGCAGTAGAGCTGGGAACAGAACAGAATCCAGGTATCCTGAAGCGGAGGCCTGTGGTCTTGCTACTACACCACACTGCTTTGCCACAGCTCACAGCAACTCAGTCAGGCACTCCCAGGGCCTGCGGCCCTGCAGTCCCTCCATCGCAGAGCTTGTTAATTTCACTTCCTGTCTTGTATCCCCCAGAATCAGTACAGATCTGATACAAACATCTCCAGCACTGAGTTCCCTCCTGACCCTTGTCATATGGGGCAGTCACTGGGTCCTCCAGGGCAGGGAAGGTCTCTGGTTGCAGGGGGTGGGGCTGTAGCAACTATAGGGCTGGAATTACACCGAGACCCACCCTGACACCCAAATCCAATAGTTGTGGAGCAGATACAGATCCAATCGATCTGTGTGACTCCACACTCCCCTCCATCTGGCTCTCTCTGTCTGGTAACAGGGCAGTGCTGGCCAGCTCTCCCCAGTAGCGGGAGATGCCATGTTGCTGATCCCTGTCTGGCCAGATTTGTCTGAGCCAGAGGCATCAGAGAGATTCCCAGAGCTGCCCTTGGATGCCCTGGGTCCCTCCACTCCGACCTGCTGCAATAACATTCCTTCAATAGACTCCTCCATTCCAAGTCCAAAAGGGATCACGGTGCTCCTCCCGTCTGACCCCTGCGTAGCCCCGGCCCTAGCACGAATCCCGGCTCGAACTAGAGCAGAGCTGTTAGAGAAACGTCCCGGCTTGAGTCACATGTCGTCAGGGATGGAGAATTCAGCCCAGCCCTTGGCAGCAGCGTCTCCGAGCCTGATCCAGACCCAGCCAACGGAGAGATTTGAATGACCAATTCCCAGGCAAACTCATTCAGATTCCCGAGGCTAGAAGCTCTGGCCCATGCAGTACGGGAGGGCAGAGGAGATGGTCTGATGCTTCCCTCTGACTGTCACCTCTCCGGCTCTAGGAACAGCTCAGGATTGACATGATAGAAACCTTTTGACCCTCACAGTGTTTCCTTCTCTGTCTTCAGGGCAATTCCTGTTAAACAGAGTCTGTCTCCGGCCGTGTAACAAACACCACGGGGTTCTCCCACCGCTTGGGAGGGGAGACCCCAACCGCTGACAGTTACACTGCGAGTTATTGCATTGCTATGCCCCATTAACCCCAGATGGGAGCTGACCCCATTGACCACAATGGAGCTATGTCCCATTGACACCAGCTGGGGTCTGGCCTCACCGATTCCAGTTCAGGATCTGGCCCATTGATTCCTAGACCTGTGCACATCTGGGGCTCTGCACCCTGTGGTGGCCGTGCACAACTGCAGCCCAGCACTTGCCTTTGTTGCCATGCTTCCCCCTGCTGGGGGCTCTGCCTCCCTCTCTGAGGCTACCACCATCGGCCTGTGCATCTCCGCACTGACACATTATTTCCTCTCCACCCCGACAGGATCTCAGCTGCACCCTGGCTTTTCAGATGTGTGCCAGCTCCCAGGGGTCCCACTCTGCCTACGGGAGGTCGGGGGGGGGGGCATGTGGCCTCACAACCTCTGAGACTGAGCCCCTGGACTCCAGCCCCCCTGTTGCACCCCGTGAGCTCTGCCCGGTGATGCCAACTGAGAGACTCCTTCTCAGAGATGTCTACACTCTCCTGGGACCCCTGCACCTCAGCCGGGATTGGCAGTGACACCCAGCTGCCTTTTCCAAAGCGAACAGGGTTTACTGGTTACCTGGACTGAACACAGACTGGGAACGTCCTCAGCTTAGCCCAGAGAAGCCCAGGTTTAGACATGTCCATCTGGCCCGGCTGGGTGCACCCCATTTCTGCTCCTTGTCCTTGTCCTTGTTTCTGTACCTGTCCCAGGGGAGAGGCCCTGTGTCCCTGTAAAGGCCGGCTCTCACCCCAGACTCCTGTTATCTCCAGGCCATTGTCCTCCTGCCGGTGATTCCCATGGTGAGTGTGTGGAGTTCCCATCTGCTTTCTGACTCTTCCAATGGTCTGGGTCAGGTTCAGCCAGTTAATGACCCATTCATGCCACTCTCATATGGTGACATGTCCCAGCACCTCCTGTCTCCTGCTGTATCCCAAAAGCAGCTTTTTAATCCTTTAACCTCCTAATGCAAAGCACAGAGGGGAAACTGAGGCACACCAGGCCACATAAAACATGACCGAAATTCCCACATTCATCACACCTGGCCCCCAGCTTGCCCTGTGGTTCATGTGGCTGAGGCCAAGTCAGTGCTGCCCTTTATGAACCTTTATGTGTGGAGGAAGGGGAGCAGATACGCAGGGAGATAAAATTGGGTCCTGCCTTTTTAAATTGGTGTCAGGCAGGAGAGGCAGTGTGGATGGTGTAATTTAAAGGTTGTACAGAGACTGGGACCCAGGTGTCTGGGATGGCAATGCAGGAGCTCATCTCTAGGGGGCCCCAGAGTGCCCATCCCTAGTGGCTGAGACTGGGACATAGGATAGGACCCAGGCATTGGTGGCCATGCAGGGTGCTTGCCTCCAGGGGGTCCCACAGCTCCTAAGAGGAGAGAGCAGGCTGGGAACGAGACCCAGGTGTCCAGGATGGTAATGCAGGACGCTCAGCCCTAGGGGGCACCACAATACAGAAAGACAAATCTCCCCCAAAAAAGTCTCACACAGGATTTTATTACATGGGGTGAGTATGAAGCTGGGTTTTATTCAAGCACCCATTGGGCTCACCACCACCGTCTGGGGAGGGACTCCTGCCACAAACACAAACCCAACTCTGCCCCCTTCAGTGTAGGGGCCCCGGCCTTTCAACATGGGGCCCATGGCTGCTGAGACCCCTCATTGTTCTCTCGATCCAGGGGACGTATGCGGAGACCCTGGTGAACACCCTCAGGGGAGACCTGTTCTTCTTGCCGAAGGAGACGATGCCCTGGGCCGTCCCGTTACACACCAGGGGGCCCCCAGAGTCGCCCTGAGAAATCAAAGGAGGTAGAGGGTGAATAGAGGCTCATAGCACAGCATCCACCTGTCCTTTTTGAGCTGTTCATAGCGCAGTCCCTAGATAGATAGATAGATAGATAGATAGATAGATAGATAGATAGATAGATAGATAGATA